TTGTTTTGCTTGTTTTGTTCACTTATTTTACAAATCTTTGTCTTTTTATTGCTACATATCAGGCAATGTGCTAGTAACTATTCTAGCCACTGTTGGAAAACAGGATGTTGAAGAAGATTCATCATTTTCCTCAAATCGTTTGCCATTCATTAATGATTTCTGTCAATACATCAATAATATAATATAAAGCAAAACATCTGATGCTTAAAAGTAATATAGATAAAATCCCATAGCAGATCACGACAGAGTAGGGATTCTGAAGTGCTTGGCTGAGCATTGCCCTAGGAAAGCGAGCTCTGCTATTCTCGCTGTCAACCCTGCTTGGAGACCCAGGAGAAACTGGTTCTCTTTAAGACTGCCAGTTTCTACATTGGTCTATCTATCTGATTTTTAGTTCCTTTGCATCGGCCCTAAGGGAAGCAGTGTCATGTTTCTCCCATATTTTTTTCTTGTATGCAGAAAAAAAAAAAAGAATCTCAGAAAGATCAAGTACAAATCATAAACTGTTATCTAAGGCACTGTAACTATCTTAAGTTGGAAAACATACAGCAGGCTTGTTTCAAAGAATGTTTATTTGAATTTTTCTGTTTTAGATGCTATTATGCCCAACCGTTTGCTTTGTTCTGAGAAGAAGTATCTCCCTTCACACTGCTCCTAATATTATTTATTTATTTATTTTATTTTTTGAGACAATGTCTCACTATGGAAACAAGGCTGGCTTTAAACTTCTGTGCTTCTGCTTCCCAAGTGCTGGTATTAAAGACACACACTATTACTGATATCTTTCATGTATAGAGACCCTGTAGTCCATAGAGTACATTATAAAATGCAATCACAAATAATAGGTAAATAAATTGCAACAGAATACATAAACTCCACTGATATGATAGTTAAATTTTACAAAATTTTCTGCCACTGACCTGTATATATAAAAGGTAAGTAAAATTAACAGATTCTAAGCATGTATTTTTCATGCTTAAACACTTTATATATATATATAATTTATTATTATTCCCATTCTACAAACAAGGAAAGTAAGTTCTAGAGTGATTAAGAAAGTTTTTCAAGGTTGTACAGCTAGAAACTGGTACAATCAAAATTTGAATTAAAATTGTTTGAAGGAAGTAAAATAGAAATACAATTTTTATATACTGAACAAACACAGTTGTACACATTTTTACACATATTTAAGTTGACTTTCCTAAAATAAGATTAAGAAAATGGACAATCAAGGCCACGATGGAGGACCTTGCTAACCACATGAGGTTGACTTGTGATGTGAAAACAAGAAAAGAAGCTCTGACCTAGGTAAGCAACAACTGCTTCTAGCACAACCCTCTACTGCAAAAATTAAATAAATTCTGTGAAAGCTATGATCTGACCTAGTCATATTTTAAATTTTAGAGCACCACTGGAATTTAATATTTCTTGATACTTATTACCAAATGAAGTAATTAAATCTAGAAAGCCTTTCCAGAATGGTAAACTAGTACACTAAATTTAATTCTAGTCCCCTTCTTTCTTAGCCGTGAGGTTTCTATTCATCAATCACACTGGAGGCTTCTTCTAAAAGCAAACTACTTTTCCATTCCTGTATCTGGTGTGTACCAAGTGCCTGACATATAGAATCTACTAATAAATGTTCTGAAGAAGAATACTGAATAAATCTATGGTACAACATGATACTCAGTACAAATGTACTATTAATATGTAGTGTATTTTTAAGTGTAATTTCCCCAATTCTAAAGACTCTGTGGACCCACCAGTTTTTCAGTAAGTAATGATTTGTAAGGAGTTACTTCAATACACACTTCATGGGCACTCATGAATCAGTCCTGGTCAGTTGGTACCTTGCACTGACAGAGATCTCTAAATTAGCATGCAGAGCCCTAAGACTATATTATAGGTCCACACCAAGTGGACTATGGTAGAAATTAAAACTCCAATTTTACTTTTTATTTATCTCATGCTTTTTCACTTTTTGTGACCATGTACTTTGAGGAAAATAGTATATCCATATTGTGGTATGTTTTTAATGTATACATACATCTACAAATATTGATACCATATAAAATTATTTTACTGATATTGTGTGATGTAAAAGCCTGTATCTTTATATAATACTTCTAAGTTAAAAATACTCAATGAAAATATTTTTGTGACCATAAAAACTACAGTATGGTTTCCTGTGGTGAGAGTTAAGGGTAATAATAGGGAGTGGGCTAGCTTTTAGAATTTTTCATTTTATATATGTTATATATACATATACGCTAGAAAGTAATTCATAACATTTCACCTAGACACTAGATGCTAAATAGAGCATCTCTTGTTGATTTTTAACCCTTCAAAAAGAAGTTCAGTAAAATCCTGCGTGATTTTTTCATCCATTTGCCTCTTGTCCCTAAAATTTGTTGTTTAGAAAAAAAAGGGCCTTCAAGCTGCTTAGAACCTAGTCAGAGAGTTAAAAGTTCTGAATTTAAGTTCTTTTATCACTGACATTCTGTGCCTACCTAATTTGTCCCTGCCTCCTTTCTCTTTTGGGTAAAACAGAGATAACACTTAGCACTGGACCTCAGAGCAATGTAGTCTAAATAAGGGATACTTTGTTCCTTCTGTCAGCTGCATGCAGAGGAATATTAATATAATCTTTAATATTATCACTTTAAAATACTATGACTTTATGGGATTTTCCTTTAAAATTTATTTTCTTTTAAAAATAATAAAAAGCAAATCACCTTATTTTTACATATTACTTTGTTTTCTAATGTTCATAATTTTAAGTTTTTTCTATGCTTGTTTCTTTTTCCCACTTTCACAAAAACACACCTGTCCATTTGATAACTTCATGGCTGTGAGGAAAAGAAAAAGTCCTTAAGATGCCCTCAAGGGAATATGAGGGGTCTTGAAATAAGTTTCCTTTAAAATATAGCCAGGGTGGTGGTACATGCCTTTAGTCCCAGCACTCAGGAGGCAGAGGCAGGAAGATCTCTACTAGTTCAAGGCCAGCCTGGTCTACATAGTGAGTTCCAGGCCAGCTGGGGCTACAGGGAGACCCTGTCTCAAAAAAAAAAAAAAAAAGGGGGGGGGGGAAACCCACCCCTTAATCCTTTAACCTCTTTAATCTCAGCATTTGGGAGGCAGAGGCAGAGGCAGTCAGATCTCTGTGAGTTCAAGGTCAGCCTGGTCTATATAGTGAGTTCCAGGCCAGCTGGGGCTACAGGGAGACCCTGTCTCAAAAAAAAAAAAAAAAAGGGGGGGGGGGAAACCCACCCCTTAATCCTTTAACCTCTTTAATCTCAGCATTTGGGAGGCAGAGGCAGAGGCAGTCAGATCTCTGTGAGTTCAAGGTCAGCCTGGTCTATATAGTGAGTTCCAGGCCAGCTGGGGCTACAGGGAGACCCTGTCTCAAAAAAAAAAAAAAAAAGGGGGGGGGGGAAACCCACCCCTTAATCCTTTAACCTCTTTAATCTCAGCATTTGGGAGGCAGAGGCAGAGGCAGTCAGATCTCTGTGAGTTCAAGGTCAGCCTGGTCTATATAGTGAGTTCCAGGCCAGCTGGGGCTACAGGGAGACCCTGTCTCAAAAAAAAAAAAAAAAAAAAAAAAAAAAAAGAAGCTGGGAGTGGTAACCCACACCTTAATCCTTTAACCTCTTTAATCTCAGCATTTGGGAGGCAGAGGCAGAGGCAGTCAGATCTCTGTGAGTTCAAGGTCAGCCTGGTCTATATAGTGAGTTCCAGGCCAGCCAGAGTTACACAGTAAGACTCTGTCTCAAAAAAGAATAATTCAGAGAACCTTAAGAAAACATCTGTGTTCTAGAACAGGACCAACCTGTAGTAGATGCTGAATAGACATTTAATAAAGAAAACCAGGAAAAGCTTATTTTAAATCTAAAAATAAAAACTAAAACTAAATTTAAGAATTGAAGAGACAAAAAAAATCCCCCCAAACAAACCCTTGCATAAAATTGCTCAACTAGCTAAAAAACTGACTGTAAATTTTATTATAGTTACTAGATTTGACTTTTCCCCAGTAATCTTTTGACTGGTTTATATCAGACTGTTAAGCATAATCTGTCAAGGATGTATAAGAAAACATCATGAAGACTAGTTCTCAGATTCACCATCTCCAGAAGTCATTGAACATAGGGTAGTCACATATGATGGGAAATATATAAAATAAAAGCCACATCATATATATATGTATATATATATATACACACACATACACTATGAAACATAAATCTTGAATACAGTGAATCAAGAGGCCTACTTCTAAGTCAAGGGGTCAACAGCCACAGCTATTCCACTACGTTCTACCTTATAGCACATTTTGTATGTTCACACAGGTGATTGCCCTCGTCTGACTAGCATAAAGTGGACTTCTGGCTATTTTTGCAATAGGCTTATCTTTGTTTCCGCGTGTTGTATTAATTTTTTCTGAATTTCCCTACGAACGAGGCATTAACAACCTCACTGCATCTCAGTTCTAATAAAACTTATCTTGCACTCTTTTGGCCTATGTGATGACTAACCCATTGACAAAAGAAATCCAAGCCGCTAAAAGCCTTTCGGGGCCACTTGTTAACAGGCCAGGCTGTAAAATCATCCCACAATGCTCGCCTCTATCATGGGGGACCACAAGGCAGCGATCAAAAAAGCCCCCTCACTTCCATATCCAGTGGAGTTGTAGTTTATTACCATAACCCTCCCAAGTCGAAAGGACACCAGTTTCAAGCCTCACAACTTGGTACAGACGGGGTGTCCCGCTTGACTCCTGCTCTGCTGGGCCTGTCTACCTGTCCTCTCCCACTGTCTACAGGTCCCGAACATTAGAAAATAGAAAATGTGATGATCTTTGTGTGTGTCTGTGAAATGTGTGTATGTGTGCGGGTGTTTGGGTGTAACGGGCTTCCCGATTGGTCGCCCGGCCCGTCTGTCAGAGCGCAGGCCAATGGCAGGCTGCCTTATATAAAATGAGTGTTTTCAGTCTCTCCGGGTTGCATGTACTGTATGTGGAGCAGTGTACAGTGGAGCGGAGGCAGAGCGGCTCCGCGAGCTCCTCTCCACTTTCCCATAGAGAAGCCCTGACTGGCCGCTGAGGGCGAGCCACACACACGCCCTCACGCCCCGGCGAGCCCGCGAGGTAGGCGCCCCCAGTCCGCAGCCCTGCCGGGGCGCTCTCCCCGCACTTTCTCTTTTCCTACTCACTTGCGAGCCGCCGGGCTGCAGCCCCAAGGACTCCGCGGCAGGAGCAGCGGCGGCGGCAGCCGGTAGGGTGGACTTGAGGAAGACGAGGGAAGCCCGCGCGTCCGGAGCCGCCGCCGGCCGGCCGCCTCGCGGGGCACTTCCCACCCCTTCAGCCCAAACTTTGGGTGGGAGAGGTCGGGGCCGAGGGTCGCGGCGGCAGCGCGGGCGGGCCGGGGCCGGGGGGCGAGCGGTGCTGCCCTGCGAGAGCGAGGCTGGGGGCCGGGCTGGGGAGTAGTAGGCCAGCCGGTGCCAGGCTGCGTTTGCAGGCAGCACCTCTCGGCGCCCGGGCAGCGCCGCCCGAGGGGGCACGGAGCCGGGGCGCGGGCTGAGGCGCCCGAGGAAAACAACAACAGAGCCGTCCTCACGCCTGGAGGCCGGCTCGTGGCCGACCCGGGAGCCCCAAACTTCATCTAGGCGAAAGTACGTGGAGGAGCCCCAGCCTGGCCTCGGCGGCCGGGGAGGTGGGGCCTGGGGGAGCCGGGGCAGGGGAGGAAGGTACGGGAAGGGAAGGCTAGCCCGCCTAGGGTTGGTGCGGCGTGTGCTGTGTGCGTTGCTGACCGCCGGTAGCAGCCGGGTCGCTGGGTCATCTGGAGAGTTGGGATTCGGGTGTTGGGGCCCCGCGATCGGTGTCCCCCTCACCCCCCAGCTCCAGCCCCGCGCGCGGCGAGCGCAGAAAGTGCTGTTTTAGTGCCAGAGTAGCCTGGAGGAAGAACAGGAGAAGAGGGGAAGAGGGCGAAGAAGGGGAGAGAGAGAGAGAGGAGAGGGAGGGAACGGGGGTGAGGCGAGAGAGAGAGAGGAGAGAGGAGAAAGAGGAGAGAGAGAGAGAGAGAGAGAGAGAGAGAGAGGGGAGAGGAGAGAGAGGGGAGAGGGAGGGAGAGAGAGAGAGAGAGAGAGAGAGAGAGAGAGAGAGAGAGAGAGAGAGAGAACACGAGAACGAACGGGAGGGAAGAGAGGAGGGGGAAGAGGAGGAGGGAGGCTGTGTCAGGATTTTGCTTGAATGTGGGATTATGTTGTGTCAATAAGTTTAAGGTGGAGAGAGCGAGGCTGGGGGTGGTGGTGGAGGGGAGGAGGAAGGCCTTGGCTGTTTAAAGTCTCATTTCTGAAGGTAAGTTACGGCCGTTGCATGGTCGCGATGACAGAAAACTTGCAGATCCTTTATCCGGGGATGGGGTCGATGGCTCTAGAAAGAGCTCCCCAGCCCTCTGAAGCCACACTCATGTTACCCTGTTATTTGCTGCGATCCGGGTCGCTAGTAAATTACAGAAATCAGACTGGAGGTTTCTTTTCCTCCTCCACCTCGTCTCGCTCACTCACCCTCAGAAATGTATTATTTTTTATTTATTTGGGGGAATATTGCATGAAACTTAACGCAACTGAGACCGAACCCGAGTCCAGTAATTTCCAAGGACCATGAATCCAGGAATCTGGAACACGTTTCTGTGTGTAATACCCGCGATCATTTCTGCTAAATGAGGAAGGTAAAACGAAACGATGCAAAAAGCTAAGACACAACATGTACGACAGGGGGTGAGGGGGGTGGGGGGGAGAGGGAGAGAGAGACACAGAGACAAGCTATTTTTTGCTTTCCTTTCTGTAGAAAGGAAAATAAAGCGTGCATTCCTCCTGTCTTGCCAGTGTGTAGGGTCTAGTCAATATTTTAACTGAGGAGAAATTAGTCCAGGTGGATCTTGTTGAAAAGTTTCGCGAGGTGGGGTGGAGGTGGGGGGGCGATGGGGGAGGTGGGTGGAGGTGGGGGGGGATGGGGACGGAGCGAGCTGTGCCTCGGCTAATGGTCATTGGCCTGGGGCTTTGAAACCATTGCCTGTCCTGCTAATGACACGTCCAGTTCTCGTCTACCGGCGGCGGACGCGGGGCTGCGGTTCCCGGGGCTGGCTCGCGGGGACTGGGGTACTTTCCCCGCACCGGGAGGGGCGCTCTCCGCCATCCCTTGGGGTTGCCCACTCGTGGCGTGGGCTCCCCACGCGCGTCCCCTCCCCTGCGCGCCGCCGTCACCTCTGCTCGCGCGACTTTTGTAGCCAGGGGGCGCGGGGGGCCCCGGAGCGAAGGTCCCCGCGCGGCCACTCGGCGGCCAGCCCCACGCGCGCCACGCTGCGCGGTCCAAGCCGGGAATGGCAGGCGGCACCCGGCCGGGCGGCGGCGGTGCCTCCCTGGGGGGCGGCAGAGGCAGCGGCGGCGGGATCTTCGCCGGGCCCGCGGGAGGAGGAGGAGGAACGGGAGGAGGAGGAGGGACGGAGGAGGAGGAGGGGAAGGAGGAAGAAGAGAGGGAGGAGGGAGGCGTTTTTTCTTTTCTTTCTTTTTTTTTTCCTGCCCAGGTCGCCGTCAGTTCCAGCGGGCACGGGCACAGGGACACCTCTCGCGTTGCTCCTCGGTTGTGGAAAGGTGTTTAGCAGACTTTTACGCCCCGAGTGTGGGATTTGCACTTCATTTTTTTTTCTTCCCCCTCTTCCCCAAAGCAAGATGGACTCTATTGCCTTTCTCTTTCTCCCTCTACCTCTGCCTCTGTCTTGTCAGCCTTTAAGATCGACGTTTTGTACTAAGATGCAAACTTAATGGTGACCAGCAACAAAGCCTGGGTGGGATCCCCCTTCGCTTCCTCCCTAGGCGTTTCCTAGCCTCCCCCACCCCGACCTCCCCGACCTGGTGGCCCTGCGCTTGCAGTCTTGGGCTCTGGCGAATGTGTTTCCCCAGGTCGACTCCGATCTCCAATCTCCGGGATTGTGGCGAGGCCGGGCTTTGGGGTGCTGGCTGTGGCCGCCCAGGTCTGCAGGGCTGAGGGCTGTGATACCTGGACCTGATGCTGCCGTGGTGGCACCCCCGGCTGGCTTCTGGGCACAGCAAGGCACGGAGTGCTTATTGAGCTCTATGATTTGGTTACTGGTGTATATGCCCTGGGGGTGGTGATCACTTGTGCAAGTTGATGAATGATCCGCGATGTGGGCATTGCATTGCTGTGTGCAGAATGGATCAACTTTCTGCTTTGTACAGACCCTGGTGTGGGAAGTCAGGGTGCTGGGAGACCCCGGAATGCCAGCTGAACTGCACCCCCTACCCCCGCCCTTCGAATAAGCAGAGATGCTTTCCCTTTCTGCCCCTCCAGCTCTTGTGTTTTGAGGTGGAAGGCAAGGGGTTGGTGTGGGGCTGGACTCCTGGGTTTTGGTGCCCTTCCTTCATAGAACTGTTCTCTGTGGAGTCTTTCCATCCTGATGATGTCCCTGTATTTGATACTTTATAGGTCACTATCATATGACAAAGGCTCTGCTGCAGCTCATCATCCTTCCTGTGTTCTTCCCATTTACCTTCCTGGGTAAGTATGCAAACTCTTCAGGCAGGAAGCTGGATGGCCCTTAGTAGTCACCTAAGGGTCGTTATTGTTCACATAGAAGATGCTTTATCAAGGTGACAATACCCTCAGAAAGCCCATCTCACTGTTTTCTCACAAGTCAACTTCAGATACAGTCTTTAGAGTTCAAGGTCCTTTAAATGCTTCTTGTTTATCTGCAAGTGTGACTTGAAAACTGATCTTCAAATAGACATTTTAATTGATAATGAAATTTTACATAGAGTTGAAGGCTTAGTCAATTTATTGGACAGTGATTATAGAAAGCTTGTAGTCTATGAATTGAATTACTAAAAGCCCAGGGAAGCATTGTGCAGAGGACCTCTGTAATGCTCTCATGCTTACTTTCTCCCCAGTTCTCATCTTCCATGACCTGTGGTGTTTGTAACAGTTACTTTTGGGTTGGGGAAGGATGTATTTGAGTAGTTTGGTAAATCTAGTATTTAATACACAAACTTGATTCAAAGCTGGTCATAATTTCCTTAAAGATTTATGGAACTGGAGAAATTAGGAGCATTTTAGTGGTCTGTACATAAAACAGCTACTGTGAGATTTATTGTTAAGTGCCATTTTCAGATATATTCCCAAATGGAAAATTTTGCAAAATATGTCTAGGATCATAAGTGTCTGGAAAGTTTGTGAGAGATAACAGTGTGTAGTACAAACGGTTTTTGCAGAACATTTGAGAGCAACGCAATGACAGGAAACTGGAAAACCAGTTTGCGAGTTTACTTCTCCATTGGAAAGGACATCCTAGGTGTTTTGAGTGACTAATAGTCTAAGAAAAGTAGTTGTACTAAATTTTATCAGTCAGCTGTGGTGCTTTAGGAATACCATAGTGAATATGGAGTAAGAGGAGTTGAGTTTGAAGATCAGGCCTTTGTCGTAGTCTTTATCCAGTAACAGATGTATTTAGATATTCCTGGGGTCTTTAGGTAGTCTAAAATTGTGGGTTCATTTTTTGTGGAATATAAATATTACATTAGTCCTCATAACTAGGTAGTTCCTTCTACCTAAGATCTCATAATGTCACATTTATGACAGACCAATTGGAGTAGTTAGAATATTCTATAAGGCTAATTTAGTGCATGCCAAAATAGGTTCAGTATTGTTGATTTTTTTTTTAAAGACTTGTTTCAAAGAAAAGTTTTTTTATTTTTTGAACATATGGCAGTTGTATTCAGAAGTACATGCCTGTTTACTAAAGAATATCACATTTGCAGGGCATGATGGCGCATGCCTTTAATCCCAGCACTTAGGAGGCAGAGGCAGGCAGATCTCTGTGAGTTCAAGGCCAGCCTGGTCTACATAGCGAGTTCCAGGACAGCTGGGTCTACAGGGAGACCCTGTCTCAAAATGATCAAAAAAAAAAGAACATCACATTTATGCACCTGAGGTATATTATTTTGTTCACTGTGGCAAACATTTAATGTTCCTTCTTTTTTTTCTATGGAAAAAGATTTAACAAATTCAACAGCTAATATAGAAATCAATACCAGAGTAAAAGCAATCTGATAAGCTCTTGAATTTCTTTGAGATAGCAAATAACTGCTCACTAAAACAATATTTTCAAGAACAGTCTTTGGAGTCAGTGCAGTGATTTTGATAATGTAGACTTGGAATGGGAATCTTTAAAAGTCACCTTGCCATGAATTACGTTATTTGCATCCAGAATGTATTTGTTGGATGCGTGGCTTATTTGTCAAAGTAAGAATTTAAAGAGGTTTCTGCTTCTGCATCATCAAGAGTTTCCAAACTTCTCTTATTACCCTGCATCTTTATCAAGTCCTGAAACTGAAACCTTAATTTGCATTTCACATAGAATACTAGCTATTAAAAAGGTGGTTCATCTTTGTTGTCTGGTACTGCTACATCTTTGGAGTCCTGGTATAGTTTTAGGAAATCTTCCACTTAGGAAGACATTTAGGTGTCTTAAAAGGTGTATAATTTGAGACTTAATAAAAATTCATCTTGATCTTTATATTCTGTTTTTTTAAAAAAAATTCTAGCTTTAAGAGTAAGTTCAAGGCCAGCCTGGTCTACATAGTAATTTCCAGGCCAGCTGGGGCTACTGGAGACCCTGTCTCAAAAAAGACTGGAAAAAAAAAAAAAAGGTTAATGAAATAGCTTTGTTTATAATATAAAGGAACGATGTATCTAATAATAATGTAATTCAGCAGCTATTAAGCCATATTTTTCAGTAGAATTACAGTTTCTACTTATTAGTCATTAGTATACTTTTTAAGGTATATGTTTTCCTTATTTCATAAATGGCATAGGTAAAAGCAAGGTCCATGTGTTTAGGTGGATCTTGCCATGACTATCAATTTTATATTAGAAATCTGTACCTGAAGTAGTAAAGGATTTCCAGCTCTACCTTATTTAAAAACAAAACAAAACAAACATTTGGAAGATAGTGTCATTACAGATATGCCTGCTTTTGCCATACTAAAGGAAATCCCTGAATTTATTAGTGTCTCAAAAGTATGGAATATACTTACAGTTTTGGTATTCAAATTAATTTAGGTAATTTTGACATACTGCATCACCACCAATGGTTTAAGATTTAAACTTAAGTGCTTAACTTAAGTAAAATAGACTTATTTTGAACTTGTAGATCACCTCATTTTTAGCATTTCACCAAGGGCAGCTTTTAAAGTTGGTCTGGCTGGTATCTCTCGTCTATTCTGAGTCAGTGAAAACAAACGGAACTTTAGCAAAAACATTGTGATTTCTCTGCTTCCTTTTTTTTTGTCATGTGTCGGAGGTAAATTAGATACAGTTGGTCCCAGGCTACACTTTAAGAAACACTGCTTAGAAGGTAGTAAGGACCAAGGTTAAAGCTGCCTAGAGGTTTTCTCCAACTTGAAGATTCTGTGACCATACTTCAATCAGTAGGTTTGTACTACCTCAAGGGCATTGATCAGATACTGTGGTGAACGGTAGATAGTTCTATATTTTTAAGTCACACCTGAGGGAAGCCTTTGGTAGTTTCACTCAGCATTCATAGTTGATTATGTTACCTTTAGAAGGCAGTTACAGTTCCTTGAAATGCCAGGACATTCATTGAACATTATTTTAAAACTAGAGATATATCCAGAAAATTCCCATATATTCATGGGGATTATTTTCATTTTTTTTTCCTTTCAAAGGAAAAGATATGGTAAGTATTAAAACAAATGCCAATTATACAAGGGATTGCTAAAGAAAGCAAGCCGGTAAAGCATTCTATCTAAAAATATAAACAGAAGATGACAATGAAAGACTTAAAGTATTAAATTCCATGAAGAGTTGACATACCTTCCAGAATACAAAGTTACATTTCGTGAATCAGTTGAAGGATCTAGATTTAGATAATGAAATAACTTCAGTGAGGAGATTGTAGGAAAAGCAAAATGAAAATTATTGGTAAGGAGTTAGGTTTTAAGAAATCTTAGAAAAACTTAAAATATTACAAAATGGTGGTTAAATAATTTAGTGAGTAGATAGGCATGGTCCCCTAGGAAAATTCAGGGGATATAACAGAAGCTCTCCAAATAGAATAATTGAGATTTGAAAAGTGACCAAAGATTATATTTCTTGTAAAAAACATACTTAAATAACCCACCAATAACTTATTTAAAAGGAGAAATGAGGGCTGGAGAGATGGCTCAGTGGTTAAGAACACTGACTGTTCTTGCAGAAGACCCAAGTTTGAATTCCAGCATCCAGATGGCAGCTAACAACTGTCCAGAACTCCAGTTCTAGGGGATCCATTGGCCTCTTGTGTCCTCTTTGGGCATTGCATGACACGGGTGCACTTACACACATGCAGGCAATACATATGTACACATAAAATAACAAAATACTGAAAAAATAAAAGGAATGAAGATAAAAATAGTTTAACACAGCTGTGTTTCTTAAATGTATTGGGCTGAGATGCATGGGATATGACTTTTATATCCCAAACATCAGAGAACTAAAAGAAGTTTCTTGAGACAATATGCTGTGCCCTCTGGTGTTTTCTATTCTTATAGAATCTTTATAAATTACATCTGTTTGAAGCTATTTTACAAAACAAAAAGTACTGAGTATTATCCATTAAATTGATTTCATGGCTTCTAGTTTGAAAATGCCAATTGACTACATTCTAAAAAATGGAAGCACCTTTACTAGATATTCTGATTCAGTGTTTCTTGGGTGTGGCTCAGAAATTTAGATTTTTAACTAATACAGAAGGTGATTTTAGAGTAAGTGAGAAGTCCTCTGATGTACTTTGAGAAACTCATGCATAGGGGATAGATGACTAAAGACTGAGACTGCTGAGGTCTGTTTTGGCTTCCCCAGTTTAAGACTGTACTTTAGTGTGTTCAGTGCCTTTATCATTTTCTGTAAATAGTCCTGTAGTAGTACATGCAGGACAAGGAGGAAAGGCTTCGCATAGAAAGAGCCTCAGATTCCACTCTTGCTCCCTCTGTTGCTGAGGGACTTGGAGCATGACACCTTGTGGCTTTAAAACTTGTGCTACTATGTGTATGCAAGTGGGTTTAATTACTAAGTGTGACAATATAGGAATTATATGAGGCAATAATATATGTAATGGTACTTATCCACTATCGGCACTCAATATATAATCTGTTTTTCAGTGTTATCTTACCTGGGTTGTTGTAAACCTGATGTGAACTGGTGGACAAATAATTAGGGAAGGAAATAAGAATATCCAGGAAAAAGAGAAAGGAAGCTATGACATGCCATTGCTCCTTTGGATTTGGGGAAAGTTCCTCCCCTTTTTAAAAAGGCAGAACCTGTCTCTTGGGATATAGCTCTGTGTTAGGGTGCTAGGATCCCCACACTATCACTCCCAGAAAAAAAGGCCTAGCATAGAATAAGAGAATAACTCTTCATGTTGATGGTGATTAGTGGACAGACAGGACTGAGCATTTTCTCAGGTATCTTTACTACGTATGGGGGGTACCATAAATCATCAG